TTTGCTTGATCCTCTAGATTTATTTTAAAATTTTTTTAAATTTTTCCCTGAATTTTCAATAATTTATTTACAGGATATTTTTTTTCATTTAACCTTTTCTTTTTAATAGGTGTCTCCCCTAAAAATGGCAAAGTTTCATTTAAAGTTGAAATTGAAGTATTAAAATCTGTATAAGAGTCGGGATTATTGCATGGTTGATCAGGTTCAGAATCTCTAAATGTTTCATTAATAGTTGAGGTAGAAGGTAAGTTAGAAATAGAAGGTAATGTGATCGGGATCGTAGAAGTAAAAGGTGAGATCATATTTGTTGAATATTTTTTTAATTTTTTGCGGCAAGAGCTACAAATTTTTTGATTAATTGATAAACTAGAATTCACTTCTATCATCCATTGTAAAACATTTCTAAGATCGTAACGTACTGAATGAGATTTTATTCTAAAGGGATTACATCACTTTACTCGAATAGAAATAACTTTTCTAGACATTTAAATTTTTTTGGTAAGAAATAAAAGAAAGCTATTAATTTTATATAATTATTTTAAATTAAAAATAAATTTGATAATGAATACCGATAATTTAATTTTCTTAGAAAAATGGCTTTATAAAATTAATCAATAAAAATGACGGCTGTTGCTGTTGGAATTGAATTTGATTTTTATGATAATTATTTTATTTGATAATTAATTATAAGTAGAAAATAACTCTTTATGAAAATATATTTCTGACGATCACAAAGATAATTTTTTATCCGGCAAAGAAAATAATCTATACATAATTCACTCATAGAATTGCCAGGTCAAAAATCTCGAATTTAAGAAGAAATTTTTTTTTTTGGGGGGGGGGGGCGAATATAAATCTTAAGATGGGGTTCGGATTTTAGTTTTAATACTATTATTCACAAATATTATCACTTTTGTTAAAAAAATAATTACTCATTTCGTATAATATAGAATTTAAGCCATACTATTTATATTTAAAGCCTAATAACTATTGGCCCAGTAATGGTCCCAATCTAGGATTTTGTACAAATATTAAGATATATAATGTATATTTGTTAAAAAATTTTGAAAGAAAAAAAAGGGCAATTTTTATTTTATAACCATTTCCGGTTTTCTATTTCCGGTTTTTGGTAAAAAAATTATTTTTAATATAATAAATTTTATATCATATAAAAGGGCTATTCTAGAGTTATTTAATAAAGTTTAAATTATACCTTTAGCTTATTTACTTTTTGAGATATTTAAAATTAAATATGGTGTATTTTGAACTTTTCGCGTTTCTAAAGATGGCCATCTCTCATGAAGTAAGCTGAGTTGAGAATTAAAATTTTATATTATTGCTAGTTAGTGTATATACTACCATCATGCAAATTTTAGAAAAAATCAAAGAGGGTCGGGTTGAATCTTCAGTTGATTTGAAATGGAATACAACATATGGAAATAAATTAGTGATAAATACAAATATTAATCCAAAATCATAATCAAAATTCATAATTTGGGAATGATATCGATGAAACAAATGAATAATGAGGATATTAATATTTAATTCTTCGGCTTCGGGTTAGGCTGTTTCTTACAGCTTACCCGAGCCCGAGAAAAAAAGAATTTCTATGTTTTGGAGAGACCCGAGCGGGTCGGAAATTGAAAGTGCAACATTAACATATTTTACATAAATATTTAATATTATTTTGTAATCAATTTGGTTTTCTTTCTTTCTTTCTTTCTTTCTTTCTTTCTTTCTTTCTTTCTTTCTTTCTTTCTTTCTTTCATTCTTTCTTTCCAATCCCGATTCTTCTTCAGCACCATAGAATTAGATAATAATTTACTTATAGCTGGAAAAAATAGAAGTTAATTTAATGATTTTACAAATATTATATAATAACGTTGATATAGTTTAATTTATAATACTGATTCAATTATAAAATATATGTAATTTAGAAAAATATTTGTAACTTATACTACAATTAGTATTATTTCAATGATTGAGTAGTGTAATACTAATAGCAATATAATTTTTGTTGAGATGTATTTTTTAGTACCTTGAAAACATTCCAAAATTATTCGGTTATGTTTTTTTCCATGTCTTAATAAAACCACGTTACCATTCTTATATCACTTACTTGAACATCTATTTATTTAATAAATCACTTTAATTATGAAAAATTAACAATCACAAATTGATATATGGATGATCTAAACTTATACCAAATATTTGAAAAATATTTGGAAATGGTATTTTTTATATGGGTATAAAAATTTGACAAGATCTGATGTAACTTAAGCTTTGTAATTTTCTAAACTTTTAACAAAGAGAAGAGAGAGAAGAGAAGAGAGAGAGAAGAGAGAAGAGAAGAGAAGAGAAGAAGAGAAGAAGAGAAGAGAAGAGAAGAAGAAGAGAAGAGAAGAGAAGAGAAGAAAAGTTAATAATATTGTTGCCAATAAAGGTTTTAATTTGTTTTTACGTCTTAAAACTAAAATGGCTTATCTAGATTTAAATTTGATAATTAGTTTATACAAAAAAAAGTGAAAATTTTTTAGTCTTATGATCCTCTTTCTTCTATGTATTCCACTATTATAATGTTTCTCAAGACAACCTGTATACAAGAACTTTCTCTCATGTTGCTTAAAACCGTTTTGGTATAGATTTGATTCACCATTCCTTAAGATATAATTCTTCACAAGGAAGTTCAAAAACTGCATCAGAAAACCTATACGTATTCATAAAACTTTAAAAGAAAAAATCTTCTACCGTGATTAGTATCAGTCTTTTCGAGCGAATGTTGGTCATGTTGTTATGAAAATAACTGATTTGGGGTCGATCTTTTATAAACTACCCGATATGTTTTTAACCATAATAAACATGAATAAATAGTTTTATTTTTTTGTTTAAAACCGATAATGGTTTGAAGAACCGTTATTTCTCTCTCATTACATTCTTATTACTAAAAAAATTTATCAAAAAAAAATTCAGCAGCCAATTGCTCCTAAAGTTAAGGGTAAATTTGTTTGAAATTTCCTGGAATTATTTTTCTAAACACGCCCGAATACAATTTTGGTAAAATCCTGCAAAAAAAATGACCTATTTAACAAATCAATCAATTCTTGAACCTTTAATTTAAAATTTTTTTTTTAAATACTCTCATCAGACCACCCTTTGGAATATATTCATCAATTACAAAATGCTGACTGTACTATTGGTTATAAATGGTTGGAATTATTACCAAATCGTAACCTAGGTAACCTCTCACTAATTAACTATTAAGACAACGAATTGGATGTAACATAGTTCAACCACATACATGCCATGCATAAAATATAAAATATATTAGTTGATCCCAAAAGGAGGTCTTGATTTGTATATAAGAGTCTAGGCAGACATGCAAGGCATGCAATGAGTAATTAAGTTATCTTTACGAGGGCCCGAATACCAAACATCTGGAGCCTACTAATTTATCATCAGTTGATGGACTAAGTCCAGATGGTTATCCCTTAATTTGGGACTTCACATGCGTCGCCAATATTTCATTCAGACGCGAGCCTGAAGATTTTGCTCATATGAAGGAACAACATATATTCTGGAAATCACGGAACTTAGGGCGATATTCTTCTGGCTAAAATATTGAGTTAGCCCCTTTTTTGAAAATCGGCTCAAAACTAGCCGTTCAACAACACTATTACATATATACATATGGAATAAAGTAACCTTATTTCATGTGTCAATAATTGTTTAGGGTATAATTATAATTGTTAATCATAATCGGAACAATTTATCGTACAATGTGAGAGGAAAAACTCTTTTTTTTATAAAAAAAAAATTAATGTCAAGAAAAAAAAAGGAGAAAATGGTTTAAAAAAAAAAGAAAAGAATAAATATAAATTGGGATATAATTGGAAAGAAAATTTAGCCAAGCTATATAGAAAAAAAAAAGAAAGAAAGAAAGATGAATATCATTAGAGATTCCGAAGAGAAAAATTAAAATAGAAATGGAAATAACGAAGTTAGGTATCATTATAGAGACACCAGTGTTGTTTGACGGTTCAATTTGAGCAGATTTTTAAAAATGGATAACTCAGTATTTTTGCCAGAAAAAAATATATTCTCTAAGTCTCGAGATTTCTTTAACAGATGTTTCAAACCCTTTGTGCCCACCCGTGAGCAAAATCTTAAGGCTTGCATAATCATTTTTCTGAATAATATATTGAGTTAGCCGTTTTAACAACACTAAAAGATAGCCAAGGAAATGGAAAATGAGGATATTTAATTGAGTAAATAGAAAAATATATATTTTTTTTAAAAAAAAATTTAGTTTTGCAACATATTATTCTTCTAAATTTTAGGGTGGACAAAATGTTTTTGATATTTATACGAAAGGCTACAATTTATAAATGATTTTATTTTTATTTTTATATTTTTATGATTTCTATATATATTAAAAATACTAAAAATAACTTTTGTCTATGTATATACAATTTTTTAATGGTTAAATTTTAACAAATTCGTTATTTAAATTAAATTAACATTTACAAAAATTACAAAAGGTCATTAAATAAAATTAAAAAGAAATAAATTAAGAAAATTCAAAGGTCATTAAATTACAAAATAAAAATATACAAAGTTTATGCAAAATTTATATATTAACAGTTTTAACATTATCACAAAAAAAATATAAAATACAAATTAATTTTATCAATTAAATTACGATTATTAAACAAAAAAAAATTGCCAAAATAAAAAGAATTTTTTAATTAATAAATTCCTTATATATAGATTTGAAGGTTCGAATTTTTATCAGTTAGTATTTTTGTCCAAATAATATCTTCTGAGAATTCTCATTCCTCAGCTCAGTCTTTCACTTCCCACGGATGATCTTTCCCTTACATTTTAGCGTATTTATTTAGTGTCGCTTGACTCTTTCATAACAGTTTTTAGTTACAATTTTATTTCCCCCATTTTTTTATCGTGCCTTTTATATATTCTTGCCCCCCCCCTCTCCCAATCTAATGACGATATTACTGCCCTTCCCCACCCCAAATTCTATCTACGCCCTATTGACTATCAAGGATAACAAAACTAACTCCCTTACAATTTTAAACGAATTTATAAGTACTTATCCCGTTCCACCTCCAATTCCTTGGTAAAAGTATCTGATGTCACGTGATTTAAGTGAAATATTTTGTAAAGTATACGTTAATTTTCCGGAGACAAATTTTTTATTTTGATTTAGTATATTTTTTTTCAAATAATATTTATTATTATATATTAAATAAACATTTTTTTTATAATATTTATTTTATTGATTTATCATGACATCAATATTTTAATTTATTTATTGAAATGTATATTACAAATACGACTTATAATTACATTTTTTAAATTAGCAAGAATAAAAAATACTCCAAAGGAAATTTTTTTAATTTATATTATTTTTTTTTTTAAAAAAAGAAATTTAATCGGCATAAATAATAGGAAAACTAAAAAAAATTTAAGGTTAGGGTTAGGGTTAGGTTAGCTTACAATAGATATCTTTTAGTGCTATTTCATATATCTATCCTTAATTAATCTTATTAACAGTACTTCAAGTAATTTTTATTATATTCCCAACATATGAATTTTTTAAGTAATATTTATTATTTTCACCGATTTTAGAAAATATAATATGCTCAGACATATTTATTAATTATTTTATCTAAGTGCATAATATGATTTTTATAGTAAAAATTTATATCTTAGTAACTCGTAAAATTAAACCAAATAATTTTGTGAAAATCAAATAATAATTGTGAAAAATCTTCTATGAATTTTCAAAAAAATATAAGGAAAGCAAATTTTTTTTTAAAATAGGATAATAAGTTAATGGGCCGGCCGGTTTTCCGCTAGCGATTTTAAACGGGTCCGATTTGGGTAAATTATCCCTAAACTGTTCGATCAATAATTTTTAACTATAAAAATAATATCTTAAGCCTCGAGAATCTATGAACAAAAATTTCCCGGCTTACGTAATATTATTTTAGGTTAAAAATATTAACCAGAACGGACCGTTCAGCAACGCTATTTTTGGCTATTTATATTTTAGGGTGAGGTGTAATTAAACAATCCGAAAGTTCTAATTTATTTTAAAAAAATAAATAAATAAACACTGTTATTAGCAGTAAAAATTTTTTGTGTGGAAGTGAATTAGAAATTTAGGAACTAATACAGCAGTATTTTACAAGAGAATTAAATGGAGGAATGAACAAAATTCCTAAAGGAACAAATAAAATTTTATTAGAAAATGAAATCATTTAAGAATATCTAAACTAAAAGTTACGAAACAATGTTTTAAAAAAAATTTTTGCAATATTTTATACAAGAAAAATTATGGAATAATATAAAAAAAATATCTTAAGGGGTGTAAATAATTATTTTAAAAAGATACTTTTTTACTAAGAAACTAAAACTAAAAGTTGTGAACAATATTTTTTTAATTTTATAATATATTTTTACCGGGGAAAATTTTTTTTTATTTTATAGGGCTACAATACAAATTTCCAGAATAGAAATATCCTTAAGGCAAATTAATATATTTTATCGATACAATAAATCCAATTCTAATTCTTATAAATTATTTCATTAAATATTTATCAGAATTTAAAATTTTAATATATAAGGCTATACAAAATATTTAAGATTAAAAAAATAGGATCTAATTTTTAAATTTTTAAATTTTTGCTCAAAATTTTATAATTTTTTGCTCCAAATTTTATAATTTTTGTTCAATAATTGTAATCATTTGAATTCCCAACATTTATTATAAACCAAAGAAACTAAAAGGCTCCTTATATAAATTAACCAAATATTTTTTTTAAGCTTTTAAAATAGAGACTTGATAATGCCTAACCAAAATTTTCGATTAATTTTATCGATATTAATATTAGCATTCGTGTCACGTGCTTCAATCATTCCAGAGGCTTCAACTCAGGAGGATAGTAAGTCTTTCCCTTGAATTGTAAATAAATATTTTTTTCTAAAAAAATCATTTCCATTTTATGATAGAGAGCTGGATATTTCAGTCGAACAGATAGAGTTTTTTATAATATACATTGACCTGCAAAATTCTGCATCTTCAGGGGTCAGTGCGCTGAATTTTTAAAGATTAGAATTTATAATAATACACGGGATTACTAGGGACCCTCAATATAGGATTTTGTATATATAAACAAACGCGTTTGAATGGAAATTTATATCTAATAACAAATTTATGGTTCTTTATCATTTTTCGTCCATCTCTAAATTATAAATTATGAATTTTTCAATCTTTATTTTAATATTAATCTTATATTTTTAACCGTAAAAAATAAATTTATAAAGAAATAAAATTTAGATATAATAAAAGTTTAAAATATTGATAAATCATGAATAAAATATATATTACAGTAAATATATAAAGTCTATTCGTATTTTCGGATAGAATATTTGCACTATTCATATTTTCGGATCAAATATTTGCCTTATTCGTATTCTTGAATCGAAATTATCCCTATATACGGATAATATTTGCATAATTCGTATTTGTAACAAATAAATTTGAAGATAATTCGATTCGAATTAAACTCTATTTAAAAATAATTTGTTTTAAAATGAAAAGAAAGATGGATTATTAAGAATTTCAAAAAAAGTGATATATATTATGTAGAAAGAAAAGTATAAGAAAAATAAACTAAAACGTCACTTAAAGGATCATGTTAAAATACTAAAGAATAATTTTAAATATTTTTAAGAATAATTTCGAATAATACTTAATAAATCGGGAATAATTGGCTAATTCTGATTACAAATTTCCTAGCAAATTTTAGTAAACTAAGATTGGGTATCATAATTAGGGGTTCCTCATTGGCGGGTTTTTGGCTCGCCGCGCATGCCCGCATATTCTTCAGGTGGGTGCAGGTGGGCTTTCCAAAATATTTTAAACATTGAGTAGCTAGCAGGCTGGCTTAGTGGTCGATGGGCAGGTCAATTTTAGTATTTTAACGGCGAACTGCATTTTGAAAAGACTACTGCTAATTTAAAAATCATCTTTTTATTTCAAAATATTACATATTTTTTTAAACTTTAATAAAAAAATATACAAATAAATTAAATAAATTATGAATAAAAACCAGCCATTAAAATAATTTTTAAACATGAGGGTGGGTGGGCTAGATAAATTTTTTAGATAAATGGGAGGACCGGTATTAAAAAAGCTATGGTTAAAACTGGCGGTTTAAAAAATAAATTTTAAATCAACAGGGCGGAGGCTTTTTAGATTAACTCGCCCAGAGCAGACCTCTAATCAAGATATGATAATTAGATTTAAACGGGACAAGTAATAAGGTTACTGGTTATATACATTTTTTTTTTAAATTTTAAATAGATCTGAAGAGTTTTGACATGATTCAATTAACCTCCTGGATGAATCAAAGTATGGATCCGTGCACAGATTTTTACGAATTCGCCTGCGGTGGTTACATCCAAAAAACTTCCATTCCAAGCGGTTATAATCGATGGGATCAAATAAGCGCAATTTCAGAATCGATACTTTTAACTATAAAAGATATATTAGGTGATTATTCATCATCAAAAGGGAAAAACAAATGGTTGGGTAGAGAAATAATAATGTCAGAATTATCTTGTGTTAGAATTAGTAATAACAGTTACTTGATTACAAGTGTAAGTTTTAAAAAGTTACAGTTACAATTTTGAAAAGTTACAAGTATCATTTTATATTTATAATTAGTTGAAGTTATATTATTCCTTTATAAAGCAGTTCATTCATAGATAACTAAGTTATTTGTTAATATTTAATTTAACAACGACACAGCGAAAGTATAATCTTTCATAAAGTATTCGCTAGTTGCATTAACACTAGTAGATAAGTACATGGATAAATTATTATATTTGCATTATAAAAATAAATAAAGAAAATCCTCATACAAAATACGAAGCAAGGGCCGAGAGATTGGCCAAGACATATTACGATTCTTGTATGGATAAGAATATTATTAGAGAAAAATTGGGAGGAAAGCCATTAACCGATCTATTAGACCTATATGGAGGTTGGGATGTGCTGAACGTGGATAACAAGCCTTCCCCATTCATAGATGAATCTTCCAACTTAAAGAAAGGTTCTTACGAATTTGTAGTTTCTTTTTATAAGGGATACATTTATATTAAACAAGCAGTGAGAATAAGAGTTGCAGGAAGATTCAGGAATAGTTACTTTTATTAGAACATTCTTCTCTTTCTCTTATTTTTATATTTAAATAAACTCCTAAAAAAAAGCATAATTTTACTATCTTTCATTCATTTTTATTTAATCCAAAAAGTACTTATCGAACAAAATTAAATATCGCCAAAACTTTATATTTAAATAATTGTCTATATTTTTAGATTAAAATTTTAATTAAAAAATTGAAATATCTAGATAGAAATAATAATTGTATTATATTTTCGTTTTCTTTGGTTTTATGATTTTGTTCCCGATATTTTATTTTTTCCTTAAAATTGTTATAAAAAACTATTACATTATTATCAACATACTTAGACGGGGATTCTTAACAGCATACCCGCTTAAATATAGTTGACTATAGAATAAATAGCCGATATTTATATAAATATCGAGACAATATATATTTTTCTACCTACTGTCAATTATTCTTCAATTAAAAATTTTCCCTTTTTCTATTTCTATTCAACTAAATAAAATTTTACTAAAATTGAATTTATTTATTCCCCCCCCCTCTCCTATCCATATAGTCAGATATCCCGAAGGCTTTCTCAGCAATTTCGGATTTATATTCTTTGAATTGCATCCATGTATAGACCCCAAAAACTCTTCCAAATACATACTCTGCATCTATCCAGGCCAAGTCGCTCCCCCATACGATGATGATTACGAGGGCAATGCCACCTTCATTAACCTAAAACGTTACGACGCTTATTTAAAGTACATGTTAAACGTTGGAAATTTGGTGGTAACTAGTTCTGGGTTTCCTAAAGAGAGAAGACTCAATCAACACGATAGTAATCTAACTCGCTACACTTTGGGCGGCGAAGAACATCGCCAAACGCCGATAAATAATCAACTTAAAACCGTTATGTCGAACGTGCTGAAATTTGAGGGGCACCTATCTAACGTTTAAAATTAAAATATATTATTATTTTATTCATTTTGCTCTCGATATTAGGGTAAAATCATTAAGAATGCTTAAAATTAAAAAATGTTTACCTTTTTTTAAAAAAACCTTATACAATTTGATCAAAACATTCATTTAATGATGATGAATGACAAAATAAAATGGCTCAATACACTTAGCCCGAATTCGCGGTTAGCGTGATTGGGCGGTAAAAGAATACAAAAATCCAGAATATTTTTGCGCATTTCGCCGCGAATTATCGGAAACTGTGAATTCGTGGGTACCTATAAAGGTTGATGCATATTTGATTTTAATCCCTTTGTTATAAATTCATGCCGGGCTTTAATTTTCTAAAAATATTTTCGCGCAATTTAGTTCTTAAGTCGTAATTCTTGATTGGTTATTAATGAGATGAACAAATTCGTCAAATAAATTTTGATATATATTTTTTCATGACCCATTGATTTGTTATGATAAAGGAGAAATTTAGGGAATTTTTTGTCGAAAAAAAAATATAATTGAATAAAATGTTGAGCTAGTCATCGGTTTAGCGCGATAAAATTAATGAAGTTGTAGTTTATTATATATAAATTTTAGTCTATTTTCAAAGGGTAACAGTTAGTGTTGTTAAACGCCTCATTTTGAGCCGATTTTTAAAAGCGGCTAACTCAATATTTTATCCAAAAACCCTAAGACTTTAGATTCCGCTAATAGATGTTCAAACCTGCATTCCTTCTACAAACAATCTTCAGATTTGGGTAATATTATTCTAGATGAAATACTGAGTTAGCCGTTTTTTAAAAAATGGACTCAAAACGAGCCCTTTAACAACACTAGGTAACACTAAAAGACATCATTTTAACAGGAAACTATATTCGCGAATAACATAATTTAGAACTACAATTCTTTAACTCTCAAACATTACTCTTATTTTATATATCCTAAAATATTATTAATATATCTAGATTACTCCATCTTCTATGGATTTGGAAACTATTGACGAGTCGAATTACGTCCTAATGTCGTTAAAAGAGTTGGACAACAATTTTGATTTCGTAAGTTAAAAATCTAAGAGATAAGAAAAAAAAGAAAGAAAGAAAGAAAGAAAGAAAGAAAGAAAGAAAGAAAGAAAGAAAGAAAGAAAGAAAGAAAGAAAGAAAGAAAGAAAGAAAGAAAGAAAGAAAGAAAGAAAGAAAGAAAGAATTTTTCAACCAATTTTAAAATATGAGATCTTAAGGGTGAAAAAAAATATATACTAAGTCATCAGATAAGTATAAATTTTTTGAGTCACCTAAAACTCTTTGGGTGCAAAATTAAATTCAAAATTTATATTTTTCCGCAAGATGAATTGGACAAAATATATAAATCAATATTTCGAAGTTCACAACATATCCATGCCAACCAACCAAGTATTTTGGGTCACATCCATCTCTTACATGGAGAAGATGAATAGCTTAATCAAGCGTAGCTTAAATGAAATGGGCATATCTAGGTGTATTTTAAGATGAAATATTCTATAATATTCTCATAATTATTTCTTAACTTAACTCACTTATCTTATTTTTGCTATAATATTTTTCTTTTTTTTTAAAAAAAAAGAGAGTTTTGCATGATTACATCATGTGGCACAATGTAAAACCTCTCACACCTTATTTGTCCAAAAAGTTCGGTGATGCCGTTAACCCAGTTCTCAAGGCGCATAATATAAAAAATTATGAAAAAATACAAGCTTGGAAGAAATGTTTAGAGAATTTTCCCACCTTTATGAAATTCCCACTCAGTTCCCTCTACCTGAAATCCAATTTTGATTCTTCGGATAAAATTAAGGCAATAGAGATAAATAAACATATATATATATTTCAAAAGTTTTTTATAATAATTTTATAAATTTCATTATCAAGAGTTTTTTATAATAATTTTATAAATTTCATTATCAAGTCATTTTACATTATCTTCCAGGTGGAAGGAATTGTTGATTCGTTGAAAATGTCTTATAAAGATGCTTTTCGGAATCTTGATTGGATGGATGAAACTACGAAGAGTAGATCTATGGAAAAAGTTTATATTTTTTTTATATTTTAAAACATGCCCTGATTAAAAAAAAATTCTTAAAAATAATATTAATTTATTATTAAATTAAACAGTATTTCTGATTGGTGTTGTTGAATGGCTCTTATTAGAGGCGATTTTTAAAAACGCTAACTTAATATTTTAGCCAGAAAAATATCGCTTAAAACCTCAAGATAATGGGAAATAGATGTCCTAAACTTTGTTGGGCCATATAGACCCCGGACCTTAATTTCGATTTTTTTTTTGTTTTTGAACGTAACAATAAAAAAAAATTATATTATTCCTGATTTTTTTTTTTTTTTGTTTTTTTTTTTTAAATAAAATAAAAAAATATTATATAAAAACCGTGGTGGGACTACAAGTTCCCAAAAAACAATAATAATTATATTTTAAAATTATGATTTGTAGGTTTTGTTTTAAGAAATAAAATTCTTTAGTTTCTGATGTAAGAGCTCTTATCTTATCCCCTATATTTTTTAAAAACTTTAAAGTTCCACTTGGCATATGTCCAAGGGAAGAGATAACAATCGGTGTAAAAATATAATTTGTGAATTTGGAATATTTCATTGTTTTTTTTTCTCGGCTATATCAACCGGATTAGAATTTAAATTTTTTGGGAAAGAAGATACGCATGGATTAAATGTTCAAAATTATTTAAATTCCCCCCTTTCAATGATTATATATATATACCTTAATATTAAATTATTGCGAAAATTTTATAAATATGCTCTCTTATAGGTAGATGCGATAAATGTCAAAATTGGTTATCCGGAATACATCGTGGATTCCAAAGAACTGGACAAAGATTACGAAGGAGTTGAACACAAAATAAATATAATGGCATAATTATTATTAAAACACTTTGATGAATACATTTTGATTTTAAATTTTGTAAGATCAAACCTATTTTAAGATTATCATATAACCGCTATTTCTAGTATAGATCTGCAAAGTCAGGCTCGACCCGCTAGGCCTAATATTTAAAAAAAAATACCGACCAGGTCGGGTCGGACCTTGGAAATTTTTTTAAAATATATCTAAATTTATCAATTTTATACTGAATTTTTTACGTAAAATATAAATATTTATTTTTTTTATTGAAACTAAACGACATATAATATATATGTCTTTTATTTTGAGTAATTATAAAAATTAATTTCTATATTTAAATTAATTCAGGCCGGGCCGGGTCTCGCTAAATAATGATATTTTAGGGAAAAAATAAACTTCGAATAAAATAAAATATTCCCTTTTTGGGGGTCACTTTTTCATGTCGTATTCTCTCTAACAACTCATAGTGGCACAAGCGTTATCTAAAAATGCTACAAATAATTTATTATATTCTTTATATCATTTTTAATAGCTATACATGCAAGATGACTCCTATTTTAAGAATTACCTCAGTCAAAGAAGCGCAAATGAATTACAAAATATCAAAAAACTTTTCCTCCCAGTAGATAAGAAACAGTTAAAACTTTTTATTTTAAGCAAAAGAAAAAGTTTATAGATTTTCTCTTAAGACCCAGTTGACAGGTTTTTCGGGATCATACAGATCTGACCTTTTTGCCCCCTACCACCCATGCCCTATTTATTTTAATTTATAAATACCTATTTTTATGAGACGGTGGTAAAAAAAATTTTAAAAAAATAATGAAATCATATGGTTATAAATATGAATTTTTTAAAGTTTCCAAAAATATATTCTTGTAAAACCTTTTTATATTGTATCTTCTGAAATAAATTTTGTATAAATATATTCAAATAATAAACGATTTTTTCCAACTTTATTTTGTTTATTATGTAATTCTCACTCTAAACAATTGAATAACTTTTAATACTTTCCTCTATAATAGTCGACTTTGATCATTGATATACAGAGAAAGGAAAGGAAGGAAAGCATTTTTATAATATGATTCTGATATTTAAAAATTTCCGGATCGAATTGGTCGGGTTTTCTTCAAAATGGATTACATCAAAAATATAGGTCCGTTGCAAATTCTTCTCTTTCTTTCTTTCTTTCCTCTTTCTTCTTCCTTCTTTCCTTTCTTTCTCTTTCTTTCTTTCTTTCTTTCTTTCTTTCTTTCTTTCTTTCTTTCTTTCTTTCTTTCTTTCTTTCTTTCTTTCTTTCTTTCTTTCTTTCTTTCCCTCTCTCTTTCTTTCTTTCTTTCTTTCTTTCTTTCTTTCTTTCTTTCTTTCTTTCTTTCTTTCTTTCTTTCTTTCTTTCTTTCTTTCTTTCTTTCTTTCTTTCTCTCTTTCTTCTCTCTCTACCTGACACAAAATAAGTCCGATTGCATAAACCTCTAATACAATCGGAATAAAATCTGTTAATTTAAAAAAATATATTATTCGTATGGGGAAAGAGCGGGTTGTGGCAATGACATCGTTTAAAAATAATTGAATCGATTTACACAATTAATTACAAATATTTTTATATAAGATCACAATGTTTATATATTTATATATATAACAGATGGTTTGAATCACCGCATACCTCTAACGCTTTTTACTCTTCTTCTGAAAATGAAATAAGTAATATTTTTTAAAAAATATTACATAATTATATATATTAAAAATAATATTAATATAAAATTATATTTGTTTAACTTATTTACCAAATACACGAAACTTCGATACAACAAATTTATTAAATATATATTCGTAAAAATAAATTATATATTTTGATACATTAATGGCAAACACAAAAAAATATAAATTAAATAAATTATAATATTATTTTGTTTTTTTTTCTCTTTAGCTTTCACCTTTTCTGGTGGTAAGCTCCTTCAACATTTCTCCACTTTATGTTATTCATACAATCTCTTTTATTTAATTTATACTTCTTTATATTAACTCTAACTTTATGGCCCCATTAAAGTTTTGGCCTTCCTCTTATACGTTTGCCCATCACTTCCAAACTCTTAACCTTATTTCCTATGTAGTTCATAGGCTTTCTCATTGTGTGCCCATACCACCTAAGTCTGTTTACCATTAACTTAGTCTTAATGGGCACTACCTTTAAACTACTTAGTATTCTAGTACTGCGCACTTTATCCTTTCTTGTTAACCCAGCAATCATCCTCAGCATTATCATCTCCATAGTTTGTAGACTTCTTTCGTCTGATTTCTTGGTTGGCCATGTTTCCAAACTATATAGAATAGTTGGTTGTACTATGGAACTGTAAATCTTTTCCTTTAATTTGTGTTGGATTCTTTTGTCAAATAGCACTCCAGATAAAAATCTTCACTTTAACCACCCTAGATTAATTTTACTCTTTATCTCCTTCTATTGTGCTATTTGTTTGTATAGTGTAGCCCAAATATTTGCAGCTTTCAATTGCCGATATCTGCCATTCATTTATATTAATACAGTCTGTTTAATCTCCTCCTATCACCATATACTCCGTCTTTTCTCTATTTACTTTTAGTCCGTGCTTTTCTAGGATATTTATCCAACTTACTAATCTTTCTTTCATTTCATCCTTGGATTCGGCAAGTAACACAATATCATCTGCAAATATCATATTCCACGGGAGAAGTGGGCTGAGAACCGACCCTTGATGAACTCCTTCGGCTATTGTAAAGCCTGCTGAAGTACCTGTTGTGCTACGGACCATGTATTACCATATATATCCTGTATTATTCTTATATATTTTTAGGGAACCTTTTTGTGGCGTAGCACCCACCATATAAGTTTTCTTAGGATTATATCGAAGGCCTTTTCTAGATCGAGAAAGACCATGTGTAGATTTTTGTATCTTTTCCTTATATTTTTCACTCATTTGCCTAATTGAGTGGATAGCATCAGTTGTTGATCTTCCAGACATTAAACCAGAGTTTCTTCTATTTCGATTAGGTCTCTTAATCTTTTTTCTATTATTCGTATAGTTTTAGACAGTGTGACATTAATTTTATGCCCCTTTAATTTGACAATTGTGTGGAACCCCCTTCAGTCTCCATTTTTGGGGAACCTCTTCATTTCCGTATTTTATTGTATAGATTTGTGGAAATGTATTCCATCATCTCCAATTGCTTTAAAGCTTTCTATTGGAATATAACATGGACTCCTAACTTTGTTGTTTTTCATTTGCTTAAGACATATGATTATCTCTTGTTCTGTTATTGGTTATAAAAAGTTTTGACATGGGGATCGTCTAGATATAGTATAGGAAGATTAAAGTTGAGAAGCTCCTTAAAATATTCTTTCCATCTATTCATTATTTCTTTTTCCTTTATTATCAATTTCTCATCTTTGTTTTTGATTACTTTCGGAGCTCCTTTTATATTCCTAGAATTTTTTTCTCGCTGTTTGGCTAATTTGTATATTTTATTTTGCCCTTTTGGTATGTAGTTCTTCATACATGTCATCGTATCCCATAGATTTGACCCTAGCCTCCTTCTTTGTAGCTATTTTCTTGGATTTTTTGTATATTGTCTTGTCATCTGGGTTTTTGGATTTGTCCATATTTTGTAAAGGGTTTTTTCTCCTGTATAATGGTTTGTACCTCTTCATTTCACCACCATAGTTCTTTGTATGATTTGTTACCTCCCCTTGTCAAGCCTAGTGTCAATTTGGTGTCTATTAATCTGGATGAAAAATCTGTCCACTACTTTTCACTGACTTGTGAGGAATCTATTGTTTCAATGTTTTCATTGATTGCAAAGGCATCTGTCACATTGTTTATAATTTACCCCATTTGATGCATGGTTCCAGTTTTATCTTGTTTTGACTCGATTTATTTGTGATGTGTAAATCCATGACTAGTAATTTGTGTTGCGCGGCTATATCTTCTCCTGGGATGACTTTGCAATCTATTACATCTTTAAATCTTCTACGAAAGATATGCATGTAATCTATCTGTGTTTTCCTTGTACCACTTTTATAGATTATTAAATGACTGTCTTTTTTCCTGGTTAAGGCAAGGTCGAAATCTTGCGCAAATTTCAGTATATGTTCTCCTTCATCATATCTTTCTCCATATCCAAAACCACCATGATGACATTTGTAACTATCTCTTACTTTTCCCACATGTGCATTTAAGTCACCACCTAGTATGACTAGGTCAGAGGTTAGATCTTGACTGAGGATGATACCGACACCGTTCCTATTACTAAGAGTTCCATTATAGTACTATTTATACCTATCTCTAATCATTAAAGTCTTATGACCTTTCCATGTCTCTTGAATGCACGCTATGTCAACTTTTCTCTTGTTCAACATTGATGCCAATTCTCTCGTTTTACCTTTAAGTGTACCAATATTTAAACCTGCTAATCTTGTCTTATTTTCTTTGACCTTTATTTTACTTTTCACAGGATGGAGGTCTACCCTGCGCATCTCTCGGAGATAACGCCTTAGCTTTCATATTCATATTTTCATTTGTTTCCTTCATTTTGTTTATTGGACAAGAATCTTTAGCACCCGGCTGTCCAGGCCTGTCGGCAACCGGGGTGTCATCTCTAAGCTTCGAAATTTATCTTATCATATGTCTTTACGCATCAGTCATCAAAGAAAAACCTGAAAATTTTTATGCTCCTTACCAGGATTGAACCTGCGTCCTCTGTGTCCTTCTGTTTACAAGCATACATCATAACCCATTAGGAATATAATGTGAATTCTACTACTTTATTAAAATCTTCAACAACAAAAAATGACGCTATTTTTTTCCCTATCCCACATTAAATATTTTTTGATATTTTGAATTTTGTGTAATGAATTGTTTCTTGTAATAAACAAAGAAAAATTCTAGATCTCAAAATCACTCAGTGGGTTGAGATATGAGCACTTCATATGTGCAAAACTTGAATTTAAATTATTGAATTTTAAAATATATCTCTGGAAAGGTGTT